ACGCTTCCACACAACTTCGGCGCACTTAGTGTTTAGGTTAAACTAGCCAACCGTTCATAATTCAAGTCATGAATAATAGCTAGTGCCGCACATAGTGTTGGCTTTTAGGAAAACAAATAACCCGTGACACTAGAAGGTTACAGCCCAATAAAGGCTCAAAATACTATCAGAAATTGCATAATAAGAAGAGTTACAATGGTGTTTATAGATTGTATATTGACAAAGAATAGCTGCAAATGAGATTCAAACCAAGAATACTTTTAAATGACTTTATCATTAGAGTCAACTCCTGTTTGTCCAAGACTTTCTGGTCTCAAACATACTACTTGTAGGGATGACAATTGGGAGCACCCACCCTGCGAGGGTTGAGGGGTAGGGCAGGGCGGGAGGGAATTTTTTTCCCCGTTAAGAAACAGGGCGGGGGACACCACCCGTTAGAATATATATTTTTATATGTATATTTAATATTTAATTTAATTAATTACAAACTTCTAATAATATTATTATTAGCTATAAGTTTTATATAATGTATATTAGTATATGTAATATAATTGATATTATCAATTATACGAATAATTATACATGCCTACTAATAGAAATTATTAATTATTTATACTAAATTTACTAATGCATTTATACTAAATTCCTAATTATACTTAACACAATATCACATTTTTTTCTTAAAAAAATACAATAATAATTTAGTGATTGTATTTATTTCAAAAGCGAAAATTTGACTACTTTAGTTGTATTTGTTTCATCATGTTGGATTATATTCAAATAGTTTTTATTTGATTGTTTTTATAAATTTTAATCGCGAAATTATAATGGATAATGATTTGGTAATATATTGATATTTTAGTACTTAATTATTTACTAAAATTTGGCTTCAATAAAATTAAATGACAAATTTTTATTAATCCCGCGAGAGCACTCACGGGAGAAGCGGGACGAGATGGGAGGAAGTATTGGGCAGCAGGGGAGGGGTCTCCCACCCCAAACCTACTCCGTTGTCATTCCTAACTACTTGCTTGTTGAAGAAAAAAACATACTACTTGCTTTGTTACACAACATAAAAAGGAAATAAAAAAAAGGACAAAAAGAAATATAAAATGAATAAAAAGAGCTGTCAATGTTCTTCTCTACTTGGTCATAACAGGCTCTGGCCAAGTTTTTGAAGGCCTATCTTGGAGGCGTTTTTATTTGGGTCACCAGGATCGACGATGTATACTCGTAATTACAGGCCCAAAACTCCAATAATAGCCCTTGAATTGCCACTGTTCTTTTAATCCAAGTCATCTTCTAGGGATGTCTACAAAATGTTAGGATGTTATATATCTCACCTTGTCAGCACAAATTGAGTCCGCTGATAAAATTGAATCACTTTCATACAAAACATCGTGTATATGAATTTCACTATCGTCTTTGATGTGAGAGCTGTATTGGTGGATGATTTATACAAACTTCTATTCTGAAAGTATGACTGAAATCGAATCCATCCAAACTTTTTATTACTAAAGGAAAAAAAAAATCTATCTCATCTTGGTATTCTCCTCTTAACTATCCAAGAAATACATACAAAATGGGAAATCTGGCATGTCTAGCGGTACCTTTAGTCACCTTTTCTTTTCTATCTCAATTAACATGTGAACTCAAACTTTTTGAAAACTAGATATCAAATGGAAAGCCTGTAAAACCGTAAATATAGAAAAATGATGGAAGAAAATGACTTGTCATGAGATGACCAGATCAGCAGCCCCCTGTCGTTTGTCCTGGGTGTGGTACCATGCCATTATGGCTGTGTCTTGAGTATTGCTATGATTTATGGCTGAAAAACTTCGTACGCGTGTGCCACATTTATCCTCGATTGAACTGGAGCTGAAATCCCCTTTTTTTGAGTACGGCTGACAAGTGAAGTTTGTCGTTTTTTTATTATTTTTATCTTTTCTCGCACCTCTCCAGTAATTCAAGTATGCTAGTGTCATGCACCAAAATACTTTACCAATTATCCTTTTCCCCCCTTTTCATTTCAAATCGTTCAGCTTAATTACCCTGCAAACAACCTTATGATCACTAGGCATTAGGTATCTTAAAATCCTTTTGATGCCTGCAAAACGAGCAATTGCCCTTCATTGATTTGTCCCATCTTTTTCATGGCAAAAATGCTTTCTTTAGATTAAAGAATGGGAACTTAAAGGCGAAGACGAGATGTGTAACAACTCGGAGCACTATTTGCTTCATACTTTACAAATACTTTTGAAGCTTGTTACCATGAAAAATGGATTGACAAAGAAAAAGCAAAAGGGCCATAAAATTCTCCCTGATCAAGCCTAAAACATTCTCTGTAAAGTTTCAGGAATAGTAGATTCACTAGATCCTCTTTGGCAGATGCAGTTTCCTTTCTAAGAATAGATGCATTCCTGAACTGAAAAACATTTAACACCTCAAAGCAAGGATGGCACTTTATTTCTTCTCTTTGCATATAATGAAAGTGGATTCACTTCTGATCCCTTACAGGTTACATGAACCAGAAGGACCCCCATCTTTTAACTTCCAATTTGCACTAAGAAATCCAAAACCAATCAAAGAATAAGACCATGCAATAATTCAACAACACATGGGGCATATGAGCAATCCGTTCTCATTACATTGTGGACAGTTGACGGACTCCCCACCACCCCCATCTTCCGGTTTGATTTTCCGGCTTCCGTTGCAGTTGAAACACATGATAAACCTTACACCAGCACATCCTTCGCAGTGCCCGTTAGAGGAGTCAATAGGAATTCCTCCGAGCAATGGCCTAAGCCTTCCCTGTTCATGCAGTCCCAAAACCTCCTCTGCTCCACCAACGTACCTCCCCTTAATAAACAGCCTAGGAGGCACCACTTTTCCACCAAATATCTGCCATAACTCTTCCCTAAACTCTGAATGCATTGATATATCCCTCTCAAAGAACAAAATTCGGAAATTTTCCAACAAAAATCGAATACTGTGACAGTCTTCAAACGTCTTTCGAATCCCTCTAAGCCCTGTCGTGTACAGAATCACCGAATCAGAACCACCTGGTGGACACTTCTCTTCAAAATTTAATAAAGGATCAGCAGTTTCCTCAATTTTTCGAGCTTTTAGAGGCGGTTCTTCCTCGATACCTTGCCAAATTTTTTCTTCTATTTTAGCCCTTCTCTCTGCTTCTTGTGCTTTAACTTCCATGACTGCTTGCTCAAATGCTTCGAGAAGATTGGGATCAAAAAGGGTTCCAGAATCTAAATTCGGCCTCCTGAAATTAGACCCATTGATCTCAGCTAGGGGTGCAGCTTTTGTATCTCCGCCCCTCAACTCTTTCGGCACCGAAGAGTCGTTCTTTTGCTTTAAAGGGCTCAAGCTCTCCAGGTTCTCCGTGTTAAAGACCGGATTTTTTGCGCTTGATTGAGGCCTAATGTTCTCTTTATCGTTGATGTCGTCGTCATCAATCTCCATCTCTTGATCCTCAAGATCTTTCATTAGCTCGGAAACATCAATAATCTCAGGTTCTTGATCTCGAACAGTTCTCCGAATAATCTTCTTGGTCTCTTCTTGAAGGAGCACAGACTGATTCTGAGCTTTGATAGCTGAATTGGGAGGTGAATCAGGAACGTACCCATCTGCTGCACTGACCTGAAGGATCCTATCCGGCTTCGGGTAACCAATTGTTTTAATGGTCTTCAATTTCTTGAGTAGCTTTCCTTTCATTGACTTCATCTTTTCTCCCCTCTAAGTTGTTGTTTGCAGAATCCTTTGTAGAATAAAGTGAATTGGATAAATTTTAAAGGTGGAAAAATGAGTCCGAAAAGGATGCGAGAAAGATTAGGAGCAGGAGTTATAACTGTAATTTGATTCTTTCAGGCGTTGCAGGCTCAGACTGGGAGAAGGAGAGAGATGAGAAAGGAAAGCTGTTTAACGGCTAAAATTTCTTCTGGCAATTTAAAATTTCAAAATGATTGGGTGGGAGAAGGCGTTGCCAACGATAGCTGGACCTGGTTCCATCTTCGATTGGGCTCCAGTGCTCTGCTAATACTACTAGGTACTAGGCCCATATACTTGTACCATGGGCTAGAGAGCCTTGTATGGGTACTATACTACGTGTGGGGTTTCCAGCGTCTCTTCTGAGTTTGGTCTAATGCGGTCAATTTCTAAATGTATGCGGATTAGCTTCTAGGAATACCGATGATCAATTTCCGCGGCTCGCATTTCATACCTGAAGGATGGTGATGCATCATCGATTTTCCAGCATATTAGAGATGTTTTTCTATTATAGGCCCTGAAATTGGTGATGTTCGTACGTCATTGTTGGACCGAAACTATGCCCAGCGGAAATTGGATCCTAAGAGAAGGCAATAAATATGCAAAATCTAGCGATCTTCTATTGGACCTTGTTGGCATGTGTTCTGGTTGTCTAGTACTATACTTGTTGACTGATGTACTTGGAAATCATAAATTTGCAGCAACCGAAGATATCAAGATTTAAACAGGAGAAAAGTGAAAGCAGCAGAAATCATTCATGGTTTATGGGAAAAATTAGAGTCAATTCATGATTTGAGAGAAAACCATGGGTATGGTAGGGCACTGGTGTCGGGGTTGTGACTAAAATTTGAGCTTATTAGAAATTTAGGTTATGGGCTGTCACTGCTGTTTCGGGGAAAACTATGGAGGGAACACAACACAGTAACCCAATCTCGTAATGGGAAGTTTTAGACTATTTGTTGTTAGATTTATATATACTAGGCATTATTGCGTACAACTCTCTACAGTTCAAGCAGGCAATTAATATGAATCGAACTTTTATGTTTATTCATGAAAATAGTTTTGACTAAGAATATTTATAGTTAACTCTTTCTGCTAATGAATACAGGTCTGGCTAAAGAATAAAATAGCTCTCGTCTAACCATTCGCAGAGGGGAAATTCTTGCCCAACCATTTCTGCTTAATTTGGCTCCATTTCTTTAGAGTTTGTTATGCAATCATCTGCATTAATTGGCCCATTTCCCCATTTTACTCTGGTTCACTCTAATTTAAATCTGCACCTGTTCATCGTAATGGCCGGTTAGACTGGCGATACATTTTCAGGTTACCCCATCCTCAACGTTTATGTCAATTTTGTTTAGAGCAGACAAAAGCCCTGCAAATTCTCATGTTGGATTTTATTCCGGCGAGGGTAAATGGGGATGCATGTAGATACAGTTCTTCCATTAGGTGGCACGGTCTTGATTAGCCGTTATTACATCCCTTGGCATTTACTATTCCGACTTTTCGTTTTCGTATTCTCCAAATCTGACGAACTACTTAACCGCTTCACTAGTTCTCTTGGCAAAGAACAAATAAAATTCTTATCCGGGATCGAAAAATGCCTACCCGCCTTTTAATTTCACCAGCATTCATCATTCTTCCTTCACTGTTGATTCAGTCTTTTGGCCTAGAATACATTGTGGGAGACTCCTTTTGGTCCATCCCCACAACCAATGACTTCTATACTAACTGGTCTTCTTCCCACTTTTTCCAGACAGGAGACACTCTCTGTAAATGCAATGACTTGTCACTTGTACAGATTGAGATTCGAGAATCAATCATTTCAATTTGAGGTTACAACACTTTAATCTTGGCACTGATACGCGGCTTTTTTTGTTTTTGTTTTTTTTTGCAGATTTTGACTTTGATTCAGGGCTTCATAATGTGATGGAAGTGTCAAGAAGAGAGTACGAGAGTTGCAGTGCAGACAATCCCTTTAAGGTTTTCTGGGATGGCCCGGCAAGGGTTGCATTGATGGAGGAAGGTGTGTTTTATTTCGTATGCAGTATTGCAAATTATTGTGCATTAGGCCAAAAGCTTAGTGTTGCCGTCCATAGTGAGAAAAATTCCCCACATTCTGCGCCAACTTCATCTCAAAGACCGCCAAAGTCTTCCCAGCCTTCACCGGATGCATCTAAAATGCCACCACCTGCTATGACACCATATTCATCTCAGGCGCCTACGAGTATGACGGATTTGTCTGTCTCATTAGTCACGGTGAAAAGTGCTGGCGATCAATGTTGCAATGATGCAGTCTGTTTGGGCTGGCTTTCTTTGTTTGGCTTACTTTTTCATTTTATCTGAGGATAGCTTTTACGGACGTTGGACAAGCCAAAAAATTATGAATGGGAGATGTTGGACCATGTGTATACTCTGGAAGGGCAGAAACACTTTTAGTAAATACATCTGGCTGGTGTGACCTTATTGGTGGCCCATAATTTGCAATTATTCAGGGAAGCAGTTTCTTGTTTCCGTTACTTAATTAGGTGGCAATTGCTTCTTGCCCTCTCTGCTTATTTCTTCATAAAAGGAAACTTTGGCCATCGTTAATTAGGTTTTCTTTTTCATCTTTTTAATTGCATCAATCTACACTCTCAGAAATTCTGATGTTCAAATTAGTACAAGTTCTTTGCTGCTACTGCCTTCGGTACAACTTGTACCTTAAGCACAGCAATGTAAGTTGGATTAGTGAAACGCATAGACCTAAATGATCTGATGCAAATTTCAAGTATCTATCACTGTGAGGTCTGTCTCATGCACTTAACCCTTAAACAGTGCAAAAACAGTAGTATTTAGTATAGCATGCAAGGAGAAACGAAAGGACCAAAAAAGACGAAGGAATGATAAAAATCTTGATTGCGATTGAAACTTAGATATTCAATTTTTCTTGAATATATATCACTTAACCATAAATTCTAAACACAAACCTGATAATCTTAACCATAAATTCTAAACACAAACCTGATAATCCTATGCATCTTTCTATCTCTATCTATCTATCTATCTTGTGGATAAGGGAACCATATATCTTACATATTCAATTTTTCTTGAATATATGTATCACTTAACCATAAATTCTAAACACAAACCTGATAATCCTATGCCTCTTTCTATCTCTATCTACCCATCTATCTTGTAGATAAGGGAACCATATTCTCCACAGCGAGAGGATGTTCCAGGGGAGATGGCATTGGTGAATTTCGACAGACTGGACAAGTGGGGTTAAGCTTTAACCAAGGATCAACGCACTTGAGGTGGAAAAAATGCCCACATTCAGGTAACAGTCTGAGCATATCCGTATCTTTGTAGTCCTGCAAGCAAATTGAGCAGCCTGAAGCTGTGCTGGCACCATCAGGATTCTTAGCTTGAGAGTAGAGGAGTTTTGGATATGAAAGTATGGTGGCTTCATCTAAGCCTTGTGGGATGCTCGCTGAATCATCATTGACAGAGAAAGAGGCTGCAGTAGTATTCATGGAGTTTCTGCGAAGGAAGGGGTGGTTTCTGTTGTTAGTATTGGAACGGAAGCGAGTGTAGATGTAATAACAATATGTGATGATTACGAGAGCTAGAAGGATCCCAAAAGAAATCCCAATGCTATAGCCATAGGGTCCAACGGTTTCTGGACCTTGATTATCACTGGGTTCATCTTTGGTTGCCTCTGATGTGCTATTCATTTTACAAGAATGGAGAGATTTTTTTCAGGAGTTGTACGTGAGATTGTGAGGATGAAGAAGAGAGAGAAAAGGGAGAATGGCTTCGTTGGGATTCTTGTACTTGATAGTAAAAAAAAAAGGATGATGATTTCGTATGGCTCATTTCACAAGAAATTGATATAGAGTTTGACTTGTAGAAACGATTTAAATCAGCATTTGCTGTCCAGAAACAGTTAAGGAGTACTGCATAATTTTCCTAATAAAAAAAACAGGGTTCATCAGCGTATAATCGGGGCGGGTGTGTTCTTCATGCCTTTTTTTTTTCCCTGAATGGATGGTGGACAAAACAGAAGATAGCTTCGGGCTAGTTGCTTCCAGCTTAGTCAGTATTTTGCAGATGTCAAACCGCCGTTTTCTGGACAAGGATACCCAATACATATTCCATTTCATATATTTTGCTGACAGAAATATCGAATTCTTTGTCGACATTTTCCTAAAATGTCGGATTCATTACAATTTATATGATGATTTTGTAATAAGTCTCGACATTCAAGTCTGCTATGCAATTTTGAGAAAAGTCTCCCATCCTGTGGCTGCCAACCATATGATATGGCAGTTTTTAAAACGCAAGCATATCACGATATACTTTTGGAGACTGACCTTAACCAGAGTTTTTTCAGACAATGCACGTCTTCTTCTGCTGGTTGTACCTATTTTTTTTTTTTGCCTAATATATATAATATGTATCTCACCACATCCATGTCATGCCCAAGAATTAGGGTCCCTGATCCCAGAGTGGTTACAACTTACCATCATTATTTAGAACTCAATTATGCCGCTAACCAACAAGTCATGAGAAGGACGTTTTATCATTAACTCTCATGCGTCTTCATCAAGTCTTTTCTTGCAAATTAGGCCTGCCATCGAATTTCCTATTCCAAATGTTAGGCTTCGCTAAATGAAACTGTTTACGCCATTCTTTGAAACTGTTTACGCCATTCGACACTTGCCGGCAAAAAAAGCAAGTGCCGGGTAGCCAACAGCAGCAAGCATGGTGTTATGTGATTCTTTAAAACACAATTAAGCAACTATTGAAAAAAAAAACATTGCTCTTTGCCCCATGCTCACTGAGATTACTATACTCAATTTATTTCTTGTAGTAATGGTACACATTTACTCTGCAGAATCTGAGTTGAGGCTTGTGAGCAAACCCAAAATTGGGTCCTGAAGGAGTATTTCCCTTAATTCTGTCGAATGTACAGGAGAAAGAAGGGAAGGAGACGTCCAAAGAATAGAAATTTCGTTTGCAAGTTTTGCAAACGAAAATTAAACAAGGAAAATGGGTTCAATTTTGATGCATAGACGTGGGAACAACCTCTGCAAGAGGAGTTGGCAGCGGCGAGCTGCGACAGATTGGGCAAGTGGGATGAAGCATTAACCAAGGATCAATACACTTGAGGTGGAAGATGTGGCCGCACTCCGGCAACAGCCTGAGCATGTCAGTTTCTTTATAATCAGACAAACAGATTGAGCAGGCTGAAGCAGCGGGATCATCTCCTTTGTGAGGCTTAGCCTGAGAATATAACAATTTTGGGTAATTCACAAGGGTCGCCTTATCCAGGCCGCCTAGCTGCTGCGCGGTGATTGAATCATCATGGGTTCGGTAGAAGGAGAAGTTGGTGGTGCTGGAATGAGAAGACAGCCGGTTGCATTTGTAGGAGATGTAGGAGATGATCACTAATACAACAAGGACTAGAAGTGATAATCCGATGCTGTAGGCTACATCATCAATAGCACCCTTGCTGAAATTGATGCTATTTGAACGACGACTACTAGAGCTGTCCACTGTGCCGCCATTCATTTTCTTCTCTGAAACCTAAGCCTGCCTTTCGAGATGGAAAAGCAACGTTTACTAAAATATATACATATATGAGAAAAAAAAGGGTAGATGATGGAAAGGATAAGGTTGGATTGATCAGGCAGACTTGTTTGGTAACGGAGGGAAAGATTCTTGGAAGATCGAGGAGAAAGGTGTTTGTCTTTGTGAAAGAAAAAGAGGATGATCACCGTCACTGGATGTATTTTGCACAAGCTTGTAACTTGACTAGTAATGCATCTTTTGATTGGACGGAGATGAAGGGTCAATATTTTGCGTGTTTCAATGGCAAGTGCTGCTTGTGTATATAATTATAATATATACATCAGATCTAATTTGCAATGTTCCCGACTGTTCAAAGTCAATGAACTGAAAGCAGCGACTCCTTTGCTCATGCATTCTAATGGAATATGGTGCTTAAATTAATGTATAGTAGTATTTCTAAAAACAAACCTTGGTATCAAAGTATTTCTGATTGCAATCAATCACAAATTTTACATTATTATCTGGATACAATTAGGCATTTGACTCTTAAGGCTCCCACTGGCGATCAACCAAATTTACTGCTAGTTGCTTTTCTGGAATTGAATGGCCCATAATGCAATGGAAGTCCACATCTAGACTCTAAAACGCAAAATTAATAGTAGTTGCTTTTATTAAAGCATTGCTTCTGTTGTTTGCATAAATTTATAGTAGTTGCACATATTTGTTGCAGTAGCAAGGGCTGGATATGATAGTTTACTTTAGAAGCCTGACAAGAATGAATGAGGTCTTTCCTTTTATAATGGTTTAAAGCTGTCTAGTTGCCTGCTTGGCTTGGAACAGAAGTCGTTTACCATAGTGGGTATTCATTACCATAGTTACTTGTATAATTTTAGCGTTTATTAGTTGCATTTCTTGTAAGCAAACAGTAGAATAATGAGTCAACAACATCCTGGTTCTTGATTGATGGCATGGCGCGCGTGTGTGTGTGTGTGTGTGTCATCAACAAATATCAACAAATATATAGCTCCAAAACCAGATAGCCCCTTCCCCCGCATGCATGATGCATCCGGTCAAAGCTCCTCTATACCAATGAATGCGATCTCTCATTTCGAGTCAAAATTCTCCTCCTATGAATTTTATCTTCACAAGCACCCAAATCAATGTATCCGTGTCTATAGAATTGGCAGAAAAGCAGCACAGTACTTGGTTGACCCCAGCAATGCACACCCGCATGTACTATAGTGAATAACAGCCGATGAGTTGGATTGGCATTGGCTTCGTCAACGTTTGCACATGCACTATATGAGCCGCATTCGTCATACACAACAACAACAACTACTACTACTACTAAATTTCATATTAATCTGTACAATTAATATAAGCTGGGGAAGGGGAAAGCGCTTTGAACAAGGGCTAGATTCCAACTGATTAAAACAATTAATTCAGCCAGTTTCATCCACCCCAAATTTTGATTGATTACGCGCAATACACGATTATGTTCCGACGTCGTCTGTATCACTGAAGAAAAAAGCAAGCATGCATGCACGTGGAATGGAAAGGAAAAGCCAATTTGCTTATGACTTAATGCATGCCCGCAATATACTACGCACCGGACCAATTTGCTTATGACTTAAATTTCTGTGGAAAGGAAAAGCCACCTACCTACCTACCTAAAGCCGAGATTTCTGTGAGAGCTCATAATAGACTCGCGAAGCTGCTCTGCATTAGCAGAAGGTTATCCTTAGTGGATGGCATTGCCAGTTGAACATCAGAACGTGACATGTAGTTGGGCTTCTAAAGGACAAAGGGTCAAGATTTGTCATGCAAACAACACAGCACCAGGGGAAGGTCGCAGTCCAGGGACAGAGATTCAGAAGGTGCTCCTCAGTCTGAAGGGTGCTTGCCACAAAGATTAACCTCCATGAATATGCTTTTCAATTTTGATTTTTCATTTAAACCACCAGAAAAAAAAGAGGAAAGAGTATAGGCGAGCAAATAAACAATGATAAATCGCGGCCCAAAAATAGAAAAAAAAAACACCCATGTTGTGTCACAAGGATGGATGACCCCGAGACTAGAAAGTGAAGCCACTGGACCGCGAGTTCAGCAGCACATCAGACACGATTTCACAGCCCCCATGCCTGCAGTGTACTTTCAGAATATAAACATGGCTGTGAAGTTAATAGCACTTGAATATAAACTGCAAAAAAGTTTTGTCCTACCTTGATCACCACACCCAACGCCTCACTGCAACCGTTCTTGTTCATCGGATTTAAAGCAGAGTACCGTCCACACTCCTACAACAAGAAGGAAAGAACAAAACTAATGGAGTAAAGCCGCGGCAGCAACAGAATAAATTTGGATCTTCCCCTGGTTTAACAAGGACCTACCTGGCTTTACTACTACATAATGCACGATGTTAACTATCCATATTCCTAACACCCGCTGCTGCGATAGAATAAAACAAATGCATGTAAACCGCATATCAAACTCGCGTTTTGAATCACAATGGTCCACTGTGAACATTGGATACAGTATCAGTTTGCAAAGAAATGCAAAAGTTACAAATAGTTAACTAGCAAATCTAATTCTAATAAAATTGAGGACAAACATTGTACAAAATGTCATTGCCTCAACAAACCTATTAAAGCTTTAATAAAATACTGATTTCTCGCTCATCTCCTGGATTTGGCTCCTTTTTCTACCACTTTCCTCCCAACTCACTGCTGGGCACACTGCACTCTCTGAGCACCACCATGCATATCTTCATCTTCCTCGTATGCTTCTTGCGCTTGTTGTTTCCTACGCATCTCATCCTCAATGTTTACGTCATGTAGTGTGGTCTCCTCACACTCATCCAACTCCATGTCAGTAATTTGTTTTGTGGTCTTTGGTGGCAACACAGCCTCCAGAGACTTGCACTGCTCAGGGTCCAGATAGTCCGGGAATTCCACATTAAAGTGAATATACAATTTACCTCTCATAAATGGCCTCTGGTACACCACCATCCCCTCATCATTTATTGCCTTGAATTGATCTGTAGTAACACCAAAACAAGGATGGGTTAATGGGGTAAAGCATCTAGTATATATGTGGAATTCTTCCATTCCCAATTTTGCATACAATTAAAGGATTACTTGTCACCATCAGCATCTTAACGAAGTATTTGTGAAACCCAATCCACTTGTTACCAAGAGTTCAACAAACAAGGAGAGTAACATCAGCATGAGCATTTACCAATGAAACAATCAAAGAGGTGAAAAGCTGACATACATCAAGAACTTCGAATGTTCAGTGACTATTTAGTAAAAAGGAAGAACGGATGAATTAAGGAGTTGTTTCTTCAGACAATTGGTTCAGACTAAAATGGTCAGTAAACTATTCGGGACCTACCAGGCTTGACCACTTCTCCGGGCTGGGATTTAATAAGAAGTTGCCTGCCATCCAGGTGAGTCAAAATAAATTGGAAGCCGCAAAGAGCCTCAGTCAGGGAGAGAGTGTGCTCATAGAACAGGTCATCATGCTTGCGCTTGAATTTTGGATGCTCTTTCTGTTGCAGGACAAAGACAATATCCCCAGTAACTGTGTCCGGCTGCAAAGTAAAATCCAGTTAAATCTACACAAGCAGATAGTCATTCAACATTGATATAGACAATAAAGCAAAAAATTGTCAGAAAGAGCATACTGCTTCATCAGCTTCACCAGGGAATGTAATTTTTTGCCCATTTTGCATACCCTTCTCTACGACAACTTCCAAAACCTTCTTTTCCTGCACAACCTTCTCACCCTTGCACTGTGGGCAGCGATCCTTGTCGTTAATAGTTTCACCAGTACCTTTACACTCATTACAAGGATGCTGCATCTGCTGTATCATCGACGGACCAAGCTGTCTAATAGAAACTTTCATCCCAGACCCCTGACAGCCCGAACATTTCATTGAAGCACCTGATTTAGAACCTTTGCTGAAACTCAGTAAATTACACCACATCAGAATAACTGGGTAAACCATCATTAAGCAGCAAAATATAATGGTGACCAGTTGTATTACTCACCCCTTGCACTTTGGGCACAACACGTTTCGTGAGAGGGACAACTTCTTAGAGGTTCCATTGTACAGGTCCTCCAAAGAAACTTTAAGAGGATGAATGACATCCTCTCCCCTTCTTTGCCTTCTGCCTCTGCTGCTTCCACCTCCTGCATATGAGAAAATTCAAGAGATTGTCATCATGCATCACAAGTGCCAGTCAATTTGGATGTCCAATGTCATCCCCAATCAGCCACTTACCACCAAAAGGGCTACCACCAAAGAATGACTGGAAGATGTCAAATGGATCATGGACACCACCTCCACCACCCATTCCTTCCTTCAATGCATCCTCACCATACTGATCATAGATCTCACGCTTCTCTGGGTCACTAAGTACCTCGTAGGCTTGAGCTAGCTCTTTAAACTGAAACCACAGAATACTTCTTGTTAAAGCTACCATCACCCAATGCTGTGAGAAGTGACCACCTATAGCAGAAAATTATTGATATACTGTTTCACAATCAGCACAAAAAATTCGTACTTTGACACACCTATTAGAAACCACAATGACGTGAATTTAACCTTTTCAAGAAGAAATACTTAAGCAGCTTATGCACTTCCAGAGATGGTTTGCAGAAACGAACGAAATGGTAATAAGTAACATGGAAATGAAATACAATGATTTAGTGAAAGGGAAGCAATTAGTAAGTGAACAATATTTGATGTGTTGTTACTGAAACAACAGCATATTCAGAGTCATCCAGAATCATTATAGAGCAAACCAAAATAATAAAGGAGCAAAAAAGTATGCTCTAAACCATAAAACCAGTAAGGAAATCGTGTTCAATTACTATGTCAAGACTTTGAATAGGCAAAGTTACGACCCTTCTGTTAACGACCAAAAAATTAAAGAGTTCCTAAAGCCAATATATGTTCGCATGTACCAGCAAAACTGAGGCATAAATGAAAAAAGAGCCCATTTAGAAATAACAAATAACCCCACCCTCCCACCCACTCCACCCAAGAACAGCATAAAGAATGAAAAGAAAATGGGAAAAATACCAGGCGACAAGATTATAAGATTATACCTTTTCCGGATCTCCTCCCTTATCAGGGTGATTCTTGATGGCAGCTTTACGATAAGCCTTCTTGAGATCATCTTGGGAGGCGTTCTTGGAAACCCCCAATACCTCATAGTACTTTGTGTTATCGCTCCTTTTCGGCGCCCTCCCAAACATCTTGTTCTTCGATCTACTCCTTCAATCACGAACAATTTCACAAAATTAGATAGAAATCAAGAAAGATTCCCCGAATTTTACCGATCTATTGGTCGATTAACACACCAATCGTGAAAATGTCCAAGACAGAGAAGAAGAAAAGAGCGTACGGACGGAAACCCTAGAGGGATTGACGGTCGAGTGTTGACTTGGGAGCTGGCGGACGGGGTAAAATTAGCGGCCTAGCGAGCCACGACGATCGAGAGCGAGGGAGAGAGAGAGAGGGTTCGTCGAAGGTGAGATTTGTGGCTTTATTTTGAGGCGAAGAATTTGGACGGTCCAGATTTGCTGTCCGCTGGCTAACTCTCAAGCGTCTAGAATCTTCTATTACGGCCTTCTGATATGAACTTTGAAATCTATAGTACCCATATAATGTTATCCCTTTTTTTCAGTTTTAAAGTGTGAAAATAAATGAAAATACAATTGGTCATGGACAAGCTCCACACTAGTAAAAATGAAGTCTCAGGTATTCCTCCATTTATTACGAGAGGCATCACCACGCTCGTGCAAATACTTCTGATGTGTTACAAAGAATAACGCGAAGAGAAACGTCCATTATCTTGATCTTCAGCCCGTTTGTTTGGAAAGTGTTTACTTTTGATGGAGTTCCAAATAATAACGTGAAAAGAAATATCTACTATTTTGATTTTGAACCCTTTTGAAAAGTGTATTTCGTGGGTATTTATGTAAAACTTTAATATAACATATTGTGACGGGATTTATAAAAACACTTTCGCGAAGGAATTGAAAAGCTTTTTTATTTTTTTCTTTCTTTTTCTTCCCTGTCCTCTTCTTCCTCCTTGCCACGGCCATTACTCCAATTAAGGGGGCAAGGTGAGGGAGAAGAGAAAAAAGAAGGAGGAGGGGAAGAGGAGAAAGAGGGAGAGGATGAAGTGCAAAAAAAAAAAAAGAGAAGCAACCGGCGGCCAGCACCTACAATGGTGGTGGCGGCGGCAGCAATGAGGTGGGGGGAGTTAGAAGAAGAACCGAAAGAAGAGTTTTGAATATTTTGAGATGTTTATTTTAAAAATTTTAGAGAGTATTTGAAATTTTATGTAATTAAAGTTGTTAAAAAACTCGTAGAAAAAAAAAACTCACCAAAAACTGAGGTCCCAAACAGGTTTCGTTTTCTACTGGCAATCGACAACCTTTACGCATTTGTTTCAAGAAGCTCGCGGAGAGTCCAAATACAGAGATACTTTTTCCATCCACACCTTGAACTCCAATGTCCCATACCGGGAGAGTTGGGGGAAGTTCGACTGAGAGCCATAGAAGATCGGAAACTCTTTTATTTGATGCCTTGAAAGTACAATCCCCACACATTAACAAACAGAATCAACAACACGAGAATCCTGTTATCTGTCTCAAACTCATTTTGCTTCCTGTTTTTTCGTATTGCAAGGTACAATGGACTTCTATACTAACTTGTGAGGGAAGTTGATGCAGTATGTGCAAGGTTTTGAGCTTCTACTAATGTCAGCCATCGCTATGCACAAATAACAACATAACTAGGACGGAGGACTAGCAGATTGCTGAAGGATATCCAAGCTTCAGCTTGGCCAAATGATAGCCGAAGTCTTTAAAATACTACTTTAATCCTCCAGCAGAAGCACAAAATATTTGCATCCGCCAGCCAGAAGTATCAGAAACATGGTGCTCCAATATCTGAGCAACAGTATGAAGATTCCGGGCTTAGGATTGATCAGGGCACTTACAATCCTCGCGTCATGAAATTTTGCAGCAAAAGCCTTTAAATTTAGAATATCAGGCTGATGATACAGATTAGGAAGAAAAAAGGTCAAACGTTTTGTGACAGCATTATTTTGAGTCAGATTAATTTACCTGCGGTCATACACAGAAACCAGGCAAGAGCTTTGCAAGTCTCTTGATTAACCTTGTGGATGCATTTGTTTTTACAAGCTTCTGATTGGCATGATCTTATGTATATTCTGGGTCATTCATCAGTATTTCACATCTAAGATGCAATGAACCAATGTATTAGGCTCCTGGCCTATTATCAAATGCCAATAAAAATCTGCGGGGCAACACAAGGACGTTAGTCAGATTATGGGGAGCATAAACCTTTTTCACTAAATGAACTGTTCAGACTAATATACCCTGATCGGCAAAAGGTTACAGAAAATCACAAAAGATAGAAGGAAAAAACAAAAAGACCTCCACAACCATATACACCATATATATATATATATATATATATATATATTTTAAAAGGAAGCTTTACATTTTTCACTACAATGTATGAAAAGAGCCGTAACTGTCTCTCCCTTAGACTCTTGGGTTTACAATTGACTTGACTTGGCATTTCTCCTTTTAGATTCTAAAAGAACACACAAAATCACTTGGCATAAGGCAATGTTGTTATTGATGTGATATAACTAATTTTCAACAACAAACCTGAAAGGCATACCTTCTCTTGCGCCTTCCAACTTCTATTGCAGTTTGATCTTTTTCAGATAAGAAAAAAAAGCTTCATGGATAAATTAGGGATGGTTATAACATTTCGAAGTTATGCTTCTCTCTATTGACTCCATCATTAAAAGAAATTTCTCTCCAGAAAGGCCATAATTGCAGCCTACTTAATTTCCTGCAATAGGAAATATTAACTTCATCAATTTGGTCAGCTATGTCTGACAGGGCTTTCATCTAATCCACTACAAAGTTGTTCCCCTTACAACTTGTCAATATTAAGCAACAAGAATACTCATAAATGGCATCATGAATTGAATAGCTAATATTCATGTTTAGGTTCAAACATAATCAATAACAAAGCACAAGAAGGCAATGAACGTTCTCACCCTGAAAAAATGATTTCAAACTGATGAATTTCTCACTTCACGTTTCTCATCAGCATGTCATGATTGACAAAAGCAATTCAACTGCACAAGAACCCTGGTTTGGTTATATTTGGCATTCATGCCATTATTCTAAACGAGCTGAAACATAACTGTCAATAGCAGAAAATTTACCTACTTTGAAAGATGGAATCTACATAGAATAGCTGCATGGGACACTCATCAGCATTCTTATCAATTTACCAAGGATTGCTGATCAACATAAACCACTGTGATCTAATAACCTGCTAAAAGAAGGACAAGGCTAGTGACACACGAGAATGGGAGGCAAATGTTGTTGTATTGCTGGCTAGGCAGAAGTTGAAACTCAGATTTTCATATATTTTGCTTCACAGGTAATCTAATGTATAACTGAAAAAAAAAAAGATAACTGAAACAGAACCTAACCGGTCAGTTTGATATAATTAAGCTCCCCTAAAGATCAGAAAGGCCCAATATTATCCAAAATTTAATGGAAAAGTAGTTAATCAATTGCGCTGTAGCATCAATTTGCAAATTCCTTAGCCAAACTATTTCCTCCTTTGACATATTTGACATGACCAACCAAATTATATTTACTACCACATTAGCATGCGGGGAATAAGCTATTGCAGAAGACGGTTAGGAAATGCTCTTATCAGCCTTATGTTTAATGACCATAATGTAGAACATTCAGCAATTGAACTTAACCTGTTTAAGTACTCAAATGGTGGAAAACATCATGCAGGAAGGGACAACTTTTAGAGCTCTGAAGGAAGAAAGATAACAAACCAACAAATAAATTAATAAACACACACAGACAAGCTGTAAAACAAATAACACTTTCCCATACCAAAAGAATTTCCAACTGTGAGCATAATTGTCAACCATGAAACACATTCAAATGCAAGTTATATATAGAAGTATGGGACTAGACAAGAATCCTCAGTTTATGTCTTAAGATAGTTAAGGGAGCATAAACTCTGAATTAAAATAGAAGCAACTAACCTAATTTGCTTTTGACCTGCTCACTGAATCTCAAGAATGTAAGCAATCTGAACTCCTTGATCTCCTGGTTTTACATTCTAATGTTCCTGGGCAGAGTGTGATCTAAACTTCGTGGTGCTTGTTCCTCTTGCCAAATCAACTGTATCAGGCAGTGTAAGACTTGAGAAGGCCTCAAAGACAGTGCTATTCCCATTTCCCACAAATATGTTATCTGCTCCTTCAATCTCCCATACCTGCAGCAACCTCAAGCTAAATTTCTCTGGCTACTTGGCCATAACCAAATACGGAAAAAAAAAAAAAGCTAGAACATTCGTTAAAATAACTGGTAACTGCTATCAGCAACACAATTAACCAACTTCAAACAACATACCAGTAAAGTCAGCAGATTTCTTATGCCGGAACTGTACTTTCTTGGCCTTTAAGATACCATGGTATAATGTTGACATGGTGTGGCTATCTGGTTCTATTCCCTTTAATGACATCTCATTGACTAGACTTACAGCCCTATCCACATCTCTCCTCTTACAATACCCACATAGCAGGGCACTATAAGTTACAGTATCAGGTTCTAGACCAATATCAATCATTTCATTAAAAAGGTCAATAGCATCTTGAAGATTGTTCGATTTACAATGACTGTCAATTAAAGCAGTATAACAGATGGCATCAGCTTTCAAATTCATCTCCTTCATTTCAACCAATAAAGGAGAAATGTCTTTCTTTTGGCCTTCCTTTCCAAATCTTTTTTCCCTTCTAAAATTAATCTTTGAATATCCATCCAGCAAAACAGTGTAAGTGATGATATCAGGAGTTATACCTCTCTCCTTCATATCATTAAAAAGATCACAAGCCTCATTTAAGCAATTCACCCTACAATAACCATTCAACATTATTGTGTAGGTAATAACATCTGGAGTTAACCCCTTGGCAACCATATTATCAAACACCCACCGTGCCTTCTTCATATCTCCAGAACCACAGAGAGCAGCAATAACTTTAGTACACATTTTCTCACAAGGGCCTTCAACAGAAGACAGCACTAAATCAAATAACTTTATAGCTTTGTTATATTCGCCTTCTGTGCAAAGGCAACTGAGAAGTTTTAGACAAGAACTTCTTTTTACCACAGCTCTATGCTTTGCAAGCCTAAGGAATAGTTTAAAGGCCGCTTCTGTGTGATTTGATTCACAATAGCCATCAATCAAAGCAGCATAATTTTCTAAACACTTATCTTCCAAACTAGTAAAAAACTTTTCAGCTTCCTTTACCTTCCCGCCAATACATAAGCCTTCAATGATCATGTTGTATGTTGTGGTGTTTGGTGCCACACCTTGCTCTTTCATGTATTTTACAAGGTCCAATGCCTCTTTAACACATCCGTTTCTAGAAAACCCACCGGCAAGAACATTATAGGTAACAATATCAGGCATCAGACCATTCTGCTCCATCTCCTCAAGTAAGTCTAATGCACAGGAAACTCTTCCTGCAAGACAGCACCCATTAATCAAGGTGGTGTAGTTCACAACATCTGGAACCATTTTCTTACGCCTCATCTCATCTAGCAATCTCACAGCTTCTTCCACTTTTCCAAGTTTGCATAAAGCATCAATTGCAACATTATATGCAATCTCATCAAGGTAAATTCCTACATCGTTAAAGCTCTTGAACTGATCGACTGCCTCACCAAACATGCCTATCTGACACAGGCATTGAAGAATTGAGCTGACAATTACACAATTAGTTCTGATATTTTTAGCTGCCATTTCGTTATGGAAAGCCAGAGCTTTAATTATATTTCCAACCTCGCAATAGCCTCGAATCAAGGCACCATAACAAAATTGATCAGGCATTAGTCCATGCTCCTCCATCTTAAGCAATACCTCCTCTGCTTCTTTTAGTTTATTTTCATTAACAAAACCACGCAGCACAGCCGTATAAGCATATGCATCAATAGGCACACTTTCTCTACTCCAGGCTATCAACACTTGATAACCCAAATCTGATCGTCCATGTGAGCAAAGCCCTTCCAGATATGTGGAATAAGTAAAATTATTTGGGGTCACACCAGCTTCCTCCATCTTCTCAAACACATCAACAGCTTCCTCCAGAGTACCCTTCCTACAGAATGCCTTAATCACAATACCGTAAGTGTAAACATTTGGACTCAAACCTAACCTCGTCAACTGCTTATACATAGCCACTGCCATATCCACCTTTCCACACTCAACCAACCGGTTCAACAGATAATTACACGCCAACAAAGACACCCCAAAACCACGCCTTGTCGTCTGGAACAAAGTATCAATAGCCTCATCAAACATACCCACAGTAACAAACGCCTTAACCATGGCTTCAAGAGCCCGAGCCAACAAATTCGACCCCTCAACATTTAGTCCTTCCACCAACGCTTCAAACAAATCCGAAATATCAAAACCCAAATGCTCTTTTCTCGACTTAATCACCTCCAACAGTACAGAATCTAACTTCATATCCATACCCCAATAACATAATATCCTAATAATAGCAACATAGGTCCCAACATCATGCTTAAACCCACGCTCCTTCAATTGCCTAAATATTTGCAATGCAGAAATGGGTTCTTTTTTCAAATTATTGAGGATTTCAATGACCCCACATGAATTTAGCTCCCAAACAGGATCATCGATTTTAGTGTCACTTTTATCAGGGATTGAAATTGATTCATCAGCACTTGAGTCCGAGTAACATGGGGTCAACTGAGTTAGCGCTGAAACTGCCCGAGACCGTATAAATTGACTGTTTCCGAAGAGTTTTCTTTGGGAAACTGACCTGAATGTAGAAACACACCACATGGAATTGGCAGTTAATAAGCCACATAGAGGAACAAAACTGGAAATTTCTGTGCTCCCATAAGCTTCTATCTGCGATGGAAAAGGAACTGAAGCGTTTCTGGAGAGTTGGGATTAAAGTTTAAGCTGTGGAAGGCAGGCATGGAAGTGTCTTAAACCCTACAAGAGAGCCAGACTTCAGGGCTTTGAATTTTTGTAAAGCCCTTTCATGGGCTATGTTCCGGATAACCCGGTTACCATGGATCCTATGCTCGGGCGACTCCCTTGTTTTTTTCCTTTCTTTTTTTTTTCCCTTTAACCCGTCATTTCCTCGCAATAATTGCTACTTTGCTGGTCGCTATATTTTTTGCCCCCGTCAATATTCTGCGTGCGGGGATGTGTGTTTTGAAAAAAAGCGAGCTACCGTAAAATAAGTTACAGTAAAATTTTATATAAATATTAAAAAAAAATACACATTTCAAACAGATTCACAAATATCAGTATCAAGCTCCAATTTTTATGTTAGTTACCTAAAAAATTTGAATTTATGAATAAACACAAGAAATAATTAGCACTTAAGTATAATTTACATCGTAAATGATAAGTTTTAGGTTCAAGTTCTCTCCTATGAAAGAAAAAAAAGAAACTTTGTAAAAGAAAAATAAATACTTAACTAGTTATCCTTTGTCAACAGCCGTTGGTGTGTTATCCATTGTAAACTGCGCTTGGAACTTGTAGCTCCACGAGGCCCACCAATTCTTTTGTGTTTGAGCTGTTGAAACCACGACGGACTGAGGCCCATAATTGCTATATTCTTCACTCATCAGATAGTCTCTTAACTTTCACCACTTGTAGCAAAACACGTTATTGTCGCATGCACCTACGGCTGTGTAAAGAGCTCGCACGGGTGAGTGGGACTTGGAAACCTGCAGCTTCCACGAAGGGCCGGGAGTTTTTTTGTCAAAATAACACTGCTGTTGCTAAAAAATATTTTCAATGTGATTCATTTTTAAATTTTATTTTCATAATAATGTTATTGTTGCCATCCAGTTATTTTGATTGTCATGTAGGATAACAATAAAAAGGAAAAGTTCTAATTTAGTTCATAGTTTCCGACATGAACTAAAAATTTAAATTTTTTTATTATAGAGGCACAAGAAAATTGCATAACTTTTTTAATTTTCTTATAATTATTTAAAATAAATTCTACCATTACTGACCTTGCTATTATTGGTCTCTGAATTTTTCTAAATGTGTCAGACCTATTAAATATATTTTTCAAAATATAAATTTTAAAAATACAAAAAATTGCAACGAAAATTGTAAGCAATTACAAAAACTTCAAGGCTATCATATTTGTTTATGTCATTCTTCCTACTCCTTGAAAAGGCAAGAAAACAATATTCATTTGTCTTATGATTATTGATTCGAAAAGAATATTTTTTAGATGCTATCAATATAAATATTGACTCCTTAGAATTAAGTTTGACAAGGGAAAGATGAAGAAAGATAAAAATGTAAAAAGGTTTAGAGAGAAAATTAGAAAAAAAATCATGAAAGTAATAAATTTTAAAATTAGATTACTTTCAATGGGTTTGTTTGGATAGAGAATTATTAGCCAAAATTTATTTGTTTACATCATCATTACAATTTTCAACGCACCTTTTTATCTTCCCAATTATCTTTTTATCTCGCATACATCACATCTCAAAAAATGCTACAGTAAAAATATCTCAAATAATTAATATATGTCATTGAATAAGAGTTATTTTGACAATAAACTCAAGCGGCGGAGAGTACTAAACTGCTGATACAGAACGTGACTTCGAGGGCGCATATCTATCAAGTATCAACGAAACAGAGAAGAGGCCGTGCGTGTGTGCTGTCGGAATTAAACATATCAGATGAGGTCCCAGACCCTAACGCGTTTCATGCAAATTTTGTCCGTGCCAGGCAGCTAAAGCCACTCAGCAGAATCAAGGAGTAATAAATCATTAATTGTCCTGATCATGCCCTTTAAAAGGTAAAGCATTCCCATGTCAAAGGTACATTAATTGGCCTGATCATGCCATCGTGTTGTGTTGGAAGGGCATTGCATTTTTTAGGTTGTACTCGTCAGTCTTCAGTTGATGTGAGTTGTTACAAAAAAAAATCAAGTATCACGCAAGCAAGATCAAGATGCCCAACAGTCTTGAGTGGGAGTATAAAGAAATTTCTTGGTTTGTACAGCCTTCGCTTTGTATGGATATATCACAGATGAAGAAATGGGAGATGATGAGTGTGTACGGACATTGTTATTATTTGAAATATTATTCGGGATAATTAGTATAGTACTTTTTATGATTTGTTATATATGAGATAAAAATTGATTGACAATATGAAAAGCGTATTAAAAAATGTGTTTATAATGTAAGTTAAATAATAGTTGGAAAAATTTTGTATCTCAAACATAATTAATATTTGGAAGTTTTTCTATTTCAGAGAAAAAACAATTATATTTAGATTCCAATTAAAAATAATAATAATTGGAAGCTTTTCTATTTTGTAATTGAATCTTAATGTCAGAGACCTAGCTATTGAAAATTGGGAGAGAACTAAAACTACTCTCAAAAATATTCTAAAAAATCTTGGATGAAAAAACTCTCATAACTTTGAGAGGGCACACTCCACCACAAAAACCTTCGCCACTCTGGTTTTTTCCAAGCCCCACGTTTTGGCACAAGTGCGTTTGTTCATACATTAGTTAGACGATCTTTCGTCCAGGCTATAACGACAACAATTTGAACAAGTTTCATGATTTAGATCTGATATGAAATTTTTTAAGGATGGCTTTTGTCACTTGTTTAGTAAACATTGGATAGACATCACGGGACAAGATGGTCAACAACAATTTTTATAATCGTGTCGGTGGTTTATAGGTTAGATTTGATTGCTTTCGATCTTCGCTTTGTCCTTTTTTTTTTTTTTGTTGACAACGACAATTGTATAACCTATTCTATCCTAATTCACAAGAGAGAGGGAAGCTAAAAAGGCCTGTCTTAGAAATAGAGGTGTCGAAATGGGGTGACTTGTGTAGGTTTGAATTGGATAAAATGGATAATGGGTATCAGTGAGTAAACTCATTTATATTCATTTAATTAGATGTGTATAAATGGGTAAGTCAAAAAATGAATTAGATAACCCAATTATCCATTTATTTTAGTTTTTTGTAAACACATTTAAATTTATTTTTGTAAACTAAATTATCAATTTATACCACTCTTTGCACCCATAATTAGTTTTAAATAATTACCTATAATGTTCAATAAATCTAATTACCAATTTTTTTCCATCCGTACTCTATGTTGTAAAATTACATACTATTTAATAATTGAATAATAAAAATATACTCCTATTAGATCAAATGGGTATTTTGGCACCACACTTAGAATTTGAATCCTCATCTCCAGTTCAAAGAAGAACTCAAATCCCTCCGTGATGGCCACTGAACCAATCTCAGTGGTTGATCTTCACTTTGTCCCTTGCTGTAAAACTTGCCCTGCCTCCAGTATCTCTGCTCTCTCTAGTAGTCTGTCTGCCCGTGGGCGTGGAGGCAAATAATTGTAATCTCATGAAATATGGAATTTTAAGACATTTTAGCTATCGAAATCATGGATGGATCTTGAGCGTAACTGCGAAAGGTCTTCCGCATGCATGCCAAAATGAAAAAGGAAGGCGCATGCGTTGGAGAGAAATTTTGGACCGAGGGCAAAGGACAAATGGTATGGACCAAATTTAAGACGCACTACTGTAATTTGTTACCAAGCGTTTTGAAAAACTTTTAAACTCAAATGTCACTATCCCACAAATGTGACAATTCATAAATTTCTAGACGTATCAAGCACGAGGAGGGGATTTGGTGCTAAATTTTGTGCCATCTATGAGTTGTTTTAATTTTATCCTCGTCGTAAAAGTAAAGATGTAGCAAAGATATCTTGTAACTTCTAGTAATTTCTGATTCCAATAACTTCTTTTTTATTAATTCCGTTTGCCTAAGAAAAAAATCCATAACTTCTTTTTTTGTTTTTTGTTTTTTGGTAACAAAAGGACAAACTTCTAATAGTAATTTTTTTTATTTTAATGAAATAACGATTTTTTTTCTTGATTTACATACTCGTAAGGTGTGCTTTTCCCACTAGTTAAAGTAGTGTTTAGACTATTGAAATGGGCTCGCTAACCCAACTACAGAATTAAAACTAAAAGGCTAAACTGCATGTTCCTCAAACTAAAGGCTACAAGCTTTAATTAGATTTAAATCTTGATATTAGACACAATGATTTCCCAATAGTACTGCCTTGTTTGGATTGTATTTTCTTGGATTTTTTTTGTAGAAAAATTACTGTAGCGCTTTGATGTACGTGACAAAAAAAAGATAATAAAAAAATGTGATCGCGAAAAAAGACCCAATTTTTTGACGAAAAATGGCTGTCCGAACGGGGTCACACGGACAATCTTGTTTAACAAATACCATGCGGAAGTGCCCCTAGCATATTTTCGCAGGATAGTGGTTGATGTTCCGATAATCTATAGGCCATACTGTATGCTGCATAATTACTGTGATACTTAGTTGTGTGCGCTGAATGGTTTTGTTTCTTGTGATAATATGCTCACAAGTTCTATAGACAAGCCCTCATGTTGCTTGCATACTTTACATTGGTCGATTAACGGATGAATAAACTATTGGTTGATTGAGTTACTTTGGCCGGCCGGCTAATTGATCCATTGATTATTATTTTTATTATTATTATTATTGATAAATGTGCGTATCGACGCAGTAGTAGTGGTTGTTGCGTCGTGTGAACTCTGTCTGACCCAAGATCTGATCTCCGTGAAACATATTATTATTATTGCTTCGACTCACGTGAAACATTTTTCAGGTGGCAACTGGCGGAGTTTTTTTTTGTTTTTGTGCGTGTGTGTGTGTGTGTGTGTGATGGGGAACTGTAAAAAATAAACACTGAGTGCCGACCAAAGACCTAATCCAGACGAGGCGCGGGGAAGGTGGTTCTTTGGAGTTGGTTGCTGGTGTGGCTGTACAGATCTGGTGGAATGCAATGTACAGATCGGTAGTGAAGAGTTTCCCACGCTGGGGAAGAGATAGGGAGCGGCTTTCTGAGCTTAGAGTGGAGATAAAAAAAAGAAAAGGATTAG